TTGTATTGCTTTCGGCCATGATACATCGATTTATAATACAGTGTAGTAGCGAGAATCAAACCTGGACTTTGTCTCTTCTAGTCCACAGACAACGCGGAGATTTGATTGGTCGAATTGTATATGAATATGTAATTAGTTGCTCAGATGACTTAGATGATCATTTAAGACGGCTTCGACCCATTGATCTAAATTTAGTTTAGCCGGGTATTAGCCATTTAGATCGTGTGAATAGGGTGTAAATTGAGCCAATAACTTCTGAACGTATATCAGAAGGTATATATTGGAAGAATCAATTCGTTCTCTTCACAGACAAACCAGAAATAGATGTAGTCCAGTCAAATGACACAGTTTCTTCATATAATAATGGTACAGTCACGATATACTGTTTGGCCAATGGCGTGCCCTCTCCTCTGTTCACGTGGTATGATCCCCGTAATCGATCAATATTGACAGGATCTCATACTGTTACGGGTGTTGGTGTCTTGGAACTAGTAACCATAGACGCAGGCAGCTATGGGTTGTACAAATGTAAAGCAGAAAATTTACTTGGTTATGATGAACACATCATCAATGTCACCCAAACAGGTTTGAAACATTTAATCCTTTTAATGGTTCTTATGGTTCTTTTTATGCGAAAACAATCTTCAAAAAGTTGTTTCGAAAACCAAGTACGTCAAAAATTACAAAAAAAAGGTTTCTAGATTTTTTTCATCGTGGAAATACATGATGATTGAGGACGCACTAATCGTAAGCTAAAATTGTGGATGAGCCTCGCCGGTGGAATTTTAATTCATAGTGTTAATGGTTTATCATTTTATTTATGGTATTATCATGAAGAGCTTTGATCAAAAAAGTTTAAACTTTGATTGACATAAAGTAGTTTCATGTTACGTTTAGCGACACCTTCAAGGTATCGCAGTCAAAAATTGCATTAGAGCAGTTTTTTTTTTTTTTTACTATGAAACTACAGTAGTTTCATATTTCATGTTGTTTTTGTTTTATCAAGCATTCGACTCTGTGACTAATAAAGAAGAGTAAAACGACTCTACGATGAATCAGTCCTGAATGAAATCATATCAAAGCAGAAAATTCTAATCAGTAGTCGGATTTGGCATATTTTGTTAACGATTAGAAAGCGTACAACGAAAATTATTTCTTTATCGTATTTAGAAGGGAAAAAAAACATTAAAAAATAACGTGAACTAAGCACGTCGACTTTTGAATATATGTTCTAGAAAAGAAAAAAACGATTACTGTAGCCGAGAGGCAGACTTGATCAAGATATACAGGCGCGCGACACATAAAGGACGACATTCATTTCTATGAAACAAGCTCGCTATGTCACCGGTTTAGGGTTATGAAGTCGTCGAAAGTGCTATTTGTGATATTTTGCGTGGATAAGGCAGTAGGAAATCAGGTCCATGAATAGAACCCCAAACAAAAAGTTGATGATGGAATGACTTGTGGGCTTGGAATGACCTTGCATCTGCTCTAATTACAAAGAAAGAGTGTATGTTGACAACAGGATTGACACCTACACACTTACACTTAAGGAACGATGGACATTACTTCACACCTAAAAAGACCTCATGCAAAGTAAACCTTTTTGACCAAAGCTCCTCATGATATCAGTGTCAACTAATAGCAACGGAACGCGCGAAGGCTTCTTTTAAAAAATATGCAATTATATATTCCCTTTGTAACAGTGCACATGAGAAA